TCATTTCAGCTTTTGGTGCCACAGGTTACTGTAAAATTTAACATAGCATGATGACACATAGTTGTGTAGACAGAGGAGGTGGATATTTAATTTGGAATGAGGAGCTCAATAAGAAAATTGTACACAAAAGTGCAGATGTCTGTCAAAATAAAAGCTTTAGGGTTTATCTGGACCACCTAGCAATGCTGTTTTTAAAAGAAATTAATACAAATGTATTAATATTGCATGATAATACTAACTTTTGCACTAGCAGTGCAAGATGTTAAAAGGATAGTTCACGCACAAAAAAGGGATCATTTACTCACCCTCATGTCAATTCAACCAAATCTTTCATGCATCAAAAAGTACAAAAAGCTCAAAAGTATCTGAAGCTCAAATGTGCTCAATGTATGTGCGTTGATCAGTGTTTATATGTGAATAAATAAATCTGTTAATCAAATAAAGCAAATTGTGTCTCTTCAGAAGACAGGAATTAAACCACTTGATTCAAATGGATTATTTTTACAAGGTCTTTTTTGTTTGTTTTTGATGCATGAAAGTTTTGTTGGCGTGGACTTTCAAAGTACAAAAATGATGAGTGAATATTGAGTGATTAATTTTGGTTGAAGTGTCCTGTTAAATGTAACAGTTTAAATCCCAATATTTGTTGAAAATCATAAAATTGTGTAGTCTTTGTACACAGACGCAGTCCAATGTGCTCTGGCACCAGTGGTAAGAGGATATACTGAAGGGGAAGTGGATTGAGTGAGGGGGCGGCTGAGGGTTTTAATGGAACTGCCTCTTCCTCTTCCCCTCGTCCTCTAGGTTTTGCTATTAAGCACTTAAAATTGTGTCAGTAAACCCATTGTGCATGACTTCTTTTTACTTGATTTCTCCCACAAACATCTCGCATAGTATTTGGTGTCACCATCATATATTGATCTCGTTATTTCCTCCTCTCACAGGGATCGAGTCTCTCAAGCAGGTGACCCGCCGCTACGCCCGAAAACAGAACAAATGGTTCCGCAACCGATTCCTCAAGAGTAAGTCGCAATGATTAGACACACTTTTCTTAGTTTGGGTGCTGGTGTGGTGTAGTGGTCAAGTTCAGAAGGCAGCTTATTTGATCCCCAAATGGTACCAAACTGCAGGTTATTCCAGCCATAATATCCCTGGAATAAATTCATGCATGAAACCTTTAATGTGAGTCCCCCTTCCCTTTCCATCCTGTTGCTTGTGTTTGAGAGTTTAATGGTCTGTGAGGTACGGTCTCTGCTGCTGG